CTCTCATTCCCTCCGCAATCCCACCCTCCCTACCTCATCTCCTCCCTGCCCCTTTCCAAGTCCACTGATAGGTGAGGAACTCCTCCCCTTTCATATGACTTCGTTTTATCAGGTATTTTCAGGACTGGTTGCAAAGTCCTCCTCTGTGGCCTAACAGTACTGTTCCTCCCTTGTGGGGTGCGGAGGTCAAAGAGCCAGTCATTGAGTCTTTTGATGAGAGTGGGGATTGAAGTCCCAGTATTAATGTGTAGAAATTGATGTGTGGATTAAGTTTAATAATGTTTCTTTTATAAATGTGGGTGCCCTTGTATTTGGGGCATAGGTATGTAGAATTGAGATATCATTGCCTGTAGCCTTGCTGAACACAAAAGACAAATAGGCTGGGAAAGAAATTGGGGCAACAACACCCTTAAATATAGCCACGAAAATCAGAAAGTGTCTTGGTGTAACTCTAACCAGGCAAGTGAAAGACTTGTATGATAAAATTTCAAGTCACTGAATGAAGAAATAGTAGAGGATATAAGAAGATGGAAAGTTCCCCCATGTTCAAGGATACATGTTACAGGCATGCCCATAGACTGATCATATTAAGGCATTACTCAAATGAGTCTTCCTCCACTCCAATGGCTCAGATTTGAGTCTAGTTCACAGAAAACATTCTAGGACATGAATAAATATGAGACAAAAAGTCTATAAATGTTTTAGACCATATGAAAATGTTAGGAAAGAGGTAGTAATATTTTTATAAAAGTATGAGCTATTTTAAAATTGAGGGACAAGGGTGTCAAACAGGGGCTTTAGATGAGAATTCAATAGAGATGTCGTTACAGCACCGTGTCTGACGCACAGCTACATTCTCAATCTTTATCGGGCTTAACAGAAAGCCTCAGTCCAGTGTGAATTACCTTTAATTCTTTTTTTTATTAATTACACTTTATTCATTTTGTATCCCCCCATAAGTCCCTCCCTCCTCCCCTCCCGATCCCACCCTCCCTCCTCTTTCTGCATGCATCCCACTCCCCAAGTCCACTGATAGGGGAGGTTCTCCTCTCCTTTCTGATCTTAGTCTATCAGTTCTCATCAAAAGTGGCTGCATTGTCCTCTACTGTGGCCTGGTAAGGCTGCTCCCCCCTCAGGGGGTGGTGATCAAAGAGCAGGCCAATCAGATTATGTCAGAGGCAGTCCCTCTTCCCATTACTATGTAAGCCACTTGGACACTGAACTGCCATGGGCTACATCTGTGCTGGGGTTCTAGGTTATCTCCACGAAATTATTTCCTCAATATGTCTCCTCAGAATTTAAGGCCAGGAAGTATTTTTTTCTCTCCTCCCTAATGAGGCATACACCCCTTCATTACACAGTGAAAACCAGGGCTCCTGGGTATTTCTGTTTGTGTTTTCGTTGTATTTCTAATACCCCAGCCTAATTTAGTAGCTTGTTTCCCTAGCCAAATTATGCTAGGGGTTGAGTGTGAGCACCTTACTGTCCCCGCATCCTGTGTAATGTCTGACATTTTGTTACAATTGGGCTTATTTCATAGGCGCCCTTTGTTGTATCCTAGGGGACGCTTCTTTGGAAATAAATAATGTAAACATCATAAAAAAAAGTATGAGCTAATGAATGCTCAAAAAAATCTTAATAAGTGGTTGTTTACAATATTCTTTTTTATTTATTTTTTATTTAATTTTTTATTCATTTTAAAATTATTATTATTAGTTACATTTTATTAACTCTGTATCCCAGCTGTATCCCGCTTCCACATTCCCTCCCAATCTCACCCTCCTTACCTCATCTCCTCCCTACCCCTTTCTAAGTCTACTGATTGGGAAGGACCTCTTCCCCTTTCATCTAACCCTGTTTTATGAGGTATCTGCAGGACTGGCTGCAAAGTCCTCTCTGTGGCCTAACAGGACTGCTCTTCCCCTCGGGGTGGGGAGGTCAAAGAGCTTGACATTGAGTTCTTGTCAGAAATAGTCCCTGTTCCCCTTACTATGGGAAACCAATTGGTTACTGAGCTACCACAGGCTACATCCAAGGAGAGGTTCTAGGTTATATCCATACCTGGTCCTTGGTGGAGTATCAGTCTCAGAAAAGACCCCTGTGTCCAGAAATATTTGGTCCTTTTGGAGCTCTGATTCTTTCCATGTCATGCTAACTCCCCCTTCTTTCATATGATTCCCTGCACTCTGCCAAAGGTTTGGTTATGAGTCTTAGCATCTGCTTTGATACACTGCTAGGTAGAGTCTTTCAGAAGCCCTCTGTGGTAGGCTCCTGTCCTGTTACTTGTTTTCTCCTACATCTAATGCACATTGCATTTGTCTTTCTAAGTGAGGATTGATCATCTTACCCTGGGTCCTCTTTCTTGTTTATCTTCTTTAGGTGTATAGATTTCATTATGTTTATCACATCTTATAGGTCTATATAAGTGAGTATATAAATGTCTCTCTCCTTCTGGGAAACTTCACTCAGAATGATCTTTTCTAGATTCCACCATTTGTCTGCAAATGGCAGAGCATGTCAGTCCTCCTACAATATTCTTATTAGGATAATGATAGTAGCAGAATAGGCAGACAAATCAGTTTTAAAGAACATAAATCTGAGAAATCTCCTGTGTTATTTCTAAATGTCTACTCATCAGATAATTTAGATAGAAAAATAAGAGCATACTTCATAGATTATTTACTTATTCAGTTAAAGTGGAAATAGAATATGATGAAATGATCTCTTAATCCACTACTTTAAATGAAAATTAATGTGCAGGGTTCTGCATTCACATTTGTTTCTGTAAGGGAGCATCTGTGAGAAGCTGTAGAATAATCACCACAGTGCTGAATCACCTCAGCCTGACTCCGACTAAATCTTTTATATCAGAGAAATTGGTGTACAGCTGATGGGCTGCTTGTGTTTGTGTCTCTGGTGGTGTTCAAAATATATCTGTATATTACATCTTCTTTGTTAGTTGTCCCAAGAAAAGGGGAGTTATCAAATACAAACAGAATGCAAATTCGAAGAAGATTCTGGAGATGAATAAAAATCAGTGGAAACAGAAGAGCAGACACCCAAGGTGTACTTCTCAGTTAAATGATTGCAGGCCAGACACATTATAGAACTTCAGGAAATGATTTAGAAGACTCTCAATGGCCATTCTGACTGTGTACAAAGTAAAGGCCACATAGTAATAATTTTTGGAAAGAGACCTCAACTATAAGGTTATAGGCAAGAATGGAGGAAAGTGCTCAGGATCAAGATAGAGTTAGAGGAGGAACCATTTTCACTGCTAATACACATAAGAATAAAACAATGGAGAACATAATCCAGGATGATTTTTAGACATCAGATCAACATCCTAGAACACTTGCAGTTGCTCCGTTTGGTCTACTTTTATATATTCCAGAAACAACTATATAAGAAATTTTTTTAAGTGTATTCAGAAAAATAAATTTGGGAAATGCATTATAGAAGAGAAAATTGTTAATCTTTTATAGTAAAAATACTGTTTTCATGACATGAACCACTTTGACTATTTTAGCTATATAAATGTTGATTTTTTACATGATATTATCATTTCATCCATCATATACATAGCTCGTGTAACCAAAAGTATACAATTTTTCAAGTACAGGCTTGTTGCTGCATCATATAGAGAAAAACACATATGCATAAATATAGTTACCTGAGCAGCTGAAAGTAGAGAGCAGAGGAAGAGGAGAGTAACAAAGGGTTAGCTATGATGAAGTAGAAGGGGCTCTGTCCAGCATTAAAGTACCCAGTCTTCTATGACACAAAGTTGTGGTTTTATATGAGATAAAATATGATTCTTAAGAACTTATATTTACCTTGAATTACTCCATCAAAATATGAATTATTGAGTCTAGTTATAAAATTTTGAATCCGTGTTGGTCTATGCTATATTATTTAAAAACCAAATGTGTCACCACCCTCAAATATTTGATGATTTTTTTTAATATATGAAAATATTTCTTCCTTTACAGTCATTGATTTTTTTTATTAGCACCCCACCATGACTTTAACAAATACACAATAATGTTACGCCAAAAACAATTCACCTTCATAAGTATATTTTATGTGATAAATTTGTATCATTTGTCTTTCTACTGGTGTTCATGTATTTGCAAACACTATTGCTCTATTTCAGAGTGCTTTTGAACTGATTTAAAAGATTCAGGGTGGCTGTATGGGTAAGCTCACTTTATTTCCTCTATACTATAGAGAGTCACACTTTAATATTTCCCATTAACTTGTGTAAGAAAAAAAGAATTTTTTGACAATATTACATATTCTTGCATATTAAAGAAAAGCTAAAAACAGCCTTAAGTGGCCACCCTCACAGAAAGGTCATCTTGGTGAGCAGATCCATATAAATGAGACAAAGCACTGGACACATAGCAAACAGATAAATTTTTAAAATCTGTCTGAGAAAAAAAAAGATTAGCAAAAAAATAATAATAAAATCAAAATACTGCTGTGCAAAACAAAGAAAACAAAACAAAACAAAACCCACATATACAAAGATATGTGTGGGGGTACAAAATTGCCCCCAAAATTTCATGGTAACTGTCCTGTTGTGAAATCAGCTGCATGAAACATAATCAAGAGTTGTCAGTAAAGCAACATTCCAGGTACTCAGTAGTCTTTGCATTCAGCAACATCGACTGTCCTCACAAGAGCACATTTACACTTAAAGAAAGCCTAGAAGTACAGCCCATTCTTAGATTAAATTATGCACACTCTAATATTACAACATTGAAAATATTTAACTAGTCTGGCATTACAAGTCTGACAAAAGAAGATCATGAAATTCCACTGTTGCTTTTTTCAACATGAAAGTTATTACTTTTCCTTTGAAATAAAAAGTGGAAAATAGACTTGAAGAGATTTAAGAATGGAAAACAGAGAATGTGAAAAAAATAAGGAAGTTTTAAATTAAATCTTTTCAGGCACATGAATTCTGCACTTGTACAATAAATACTTGTACTTACTCTATATCAATTTCCTTAGGAGAAAATGTGATCTTTGTATCAGGAAAAATGCCCCGTGTGTAATAAATATGAAGAGGAAAAAATGCACCAATCATCATTTCTCCTTGATGGAAAAAAACTCCCCTTATGTTTAGATAGCATTCACGGTCAGAAAAGGCCCAGACAAAATTGGGAATATACAAGAGCCAGAAGA